AGTATAGCCAGAATGCTCATTTAGACATGTTATTAGGAGGGACTAGTCCCTGGAGAAGAACATCATGCTTGTTAAAGTAGAGGGTCAGCAAAAAAGGGGAAGGCACTCAATGAGATGGATTGACACAGTGGCTGCAACAATGGGCTCAAGTGTAACAACAATTGTGAAGATGGTGCAGGACCAGGCAGTGTTTCTTACTGTTGTACATAGGGTCACTGTGAGTCAGAACCAACTTGGCTGCACCTAACAACAATAACAACAAATATAATCCAAAGAAATGAGTAAAACTGCCACCAAATATTAGCTACTAGCTGGTAGAAAAACTAGTCCAGTGTGGCCACCTATGTTAACCAATAACAGGGCAAATGGGCTTTGAATAGAATAATTGGAAGTGTAATACACTTTATAAAACTATGAGCAATTTATACTATTTACATGTATTGCTTTTATAATTTTTTCAAAATATTAATTTTTAAAAAAGCTGAGCCAAATAAATCCTGTTGGAACTACTCAAGTCAGTGTGAGTGGTTTCTCTATTGAAGACCCGACCAGGCTGACTGGGACCAAAGGCATACGAAGAGTGGGTCAGAAAAGGATTGTCTAGGATGACGAGAACAATCAGCTAAAAGAGAGACCTCCACCTGGACTCCTGCCCTACATATCATGTCCTGATTTTATGTGCCCTTGTTATACCATGGTATAAACCACCTTTTCACTAGAGAAAGATAGATACTTCGTTTCTGACGCCAAGAAGTAGATGATTCAAATGGCCCATCCAGAAAGAGTGGAGAGGCTCAAAAACAAAAATAAAAACTTAACCTCTTATCAGATATATTAAACAAGACTTTCTCATCTCTAGACAGATTCTCTTCACATGGCACATGGTATGTCATATGGTGACATGTCATATATCATGATAATATGGTACTGATTTATCTCTTCTTTCCTCTTTTGTTGTGTTTTTAAATTTCTCCATTCCTTCAAGACTCAGATTATCCCTGTTACTTGTTGAATACTGTGCTAGGTAAAGAGATTAAAAAACCATGTCCCTACCATGAAGTAGGCCATACTCTAGTTGAAAGAAAGAGAATAATCCATTAGAGTGCAATGTGGTTTGAGACATGATGAGAGTTGTGTTCTGGGAGGCAGATAGAGTCAAACACATCAGACTACAGAGGTTTCCTGTGAAGGGTAAAATTTTAAATGAAAAATAAAAACAAGATATTGACACATACAAGGAAGAGAGTATGTACCTGACCAAGGAAATAGCATGTGAGCTTGGGTTTTCTGTGGCCCAAAATTGAAGGTCTGTATGCTGTGCTGTTGGAGATCAGGGAAAGTAGACTCTGAGACAATGATTAGCGTTCAAGGAGTTTTCTGGGGAGTGCCATAGGATCAACACTTGTAGGAAGAGAAGGCAGGAAGATTGAGCAGAGGGAGAGTTGAGCTACAGTGCAGTCACAAAATGGCGTTAGCCAACCATGGAGGGAGCTCTGAAACTGGAATGACCCTTCAGAAGAGGAGTGAAGGGGTGGAATCATTATAACTCCACACTGACCAATCATTGGATACAGGCAGCCCCCACGGAAAGGGGAGAAAATTTGGGCTAAAGGACTCACTTCAGTAAAGGAGGAAATTCCAACTTGGAATAGACGGACAGGCAGGCAGACAGACAGATAGACTGATTGATTTTTTAAGGCATTTGCTCACATGATTGTAGAGGCTGGCAAGAAACCAAAATCAGTAGGCCAGGTGGTAGGCTGGAAACTCTGGCAGGATGTCTATGTTATAGTCTTGAGGTCGAATCCTTCTCCCTCAGGAAACCTCAGTTTTTGCTCTAAAGGCCGTCAACTGATTGGATGAGGCCCACCCACATTGTGCAGGGTAAGCTGTTTTACTTAAGTCAACTACTTAAAAGGTTAATCACATGTAAATATTGTCATAGCAACATCTAGACTAGTGTTTGGCCAAACACTGGACACCATAGCCTAGCCAAGTCAACACATAAAATTAACCATCACATGACTCTTCCTTTTTTTTGATTTTTCTATGTTCAGTAATCCAGGTACATTTAAACTAGAATTTTTCAGGGATGGATAAGCTATAATTGTCTTCGCTCTTGTAGTACTACCCTGATAGAGCTTCTGTTTCTTGCAAATCATTGGAGTACATCTTTGTGGTTAATGAGAGTAAAATCCCACAGAAAATAAGGAGTATGAAGAGAGAGAAATCTGATATAAGCCAAGGTTTCTGGCTTATGTAACTAAGTTGTTCTTGGTGCTCTTCACAGAAATAAGGAATAAAGGAGATAAACCAAGTTTGGCTCTAGGGTAGACAATGATGAACTAAATTTTGGATATATTATGTCTGAGGTACCTACGCAACATCTAAGGAAATGTCTAGGAGGCAATTCAATATGAGAGTGTGAAGTTCAAAGGACAAGTTTTGTACTTGTTGCATAAATATGGGGGTCATTTTTGCCTTTGTGGTAGTTGATGTCATGGGTGTATAAGATTATCTTCAGAGAATGTATCAAATGAGATGAAAACTAGGGACTGAGCTGTAGGGAATGCTTGCTGCATCACTTTGAGTAAGTTACTTCACCTTTAAAGCCTTTTCTCCTAACCTGGAAAAAGGGGATAATAACAGAAACAATCTTGCAAGGTTGATTTGAGAATTTAATAATATGTTAAGTGAAGTATTTGGTTCTGTAAAGTTCCTAGTAAAAGGAAGAACAAACAACATGAACTTTTATGGACCATGAAAAGAAGAGTGACCCATATTTGCAGCCAAGCGTGGTAAATATTTCTCCTCCCTCTACTCCACTGCTCCCTTTTGAATTTGAAGCTAAACAGGCCAAACCCAGGGCTGAATTGTGAAATCGGCTGACTTCCCCCTGACAGCCCAGCCTCTGCCTCTGCTTCCATACCCCCTTTCACCATTGCAGGTAACCCAACCTCACTTTCAGGATCCTGTTCAGCTTCTACTCTTCCCTTTCAAACCAAGTCAGGAAGCATCAGACAACAGTTAATACACTTAATGACTGATACACTAATTAAATTGAACTGAAATCTGTTTTGTTCCTCAGTAAGCTTTTCCCTTTAATGATGACTTTTATCTATAAATATGAAATGAATTTGAAGCAGCACTTTATGTCTGAAGTAGTAGAGTTAGCACTGGGTTTTTGGACCATGGCTCTGCTGCTAATATTACGCGAATTTGGGAAAGCCATCAAGCCTTAGGAACTTTAGTTTCTTTGGTCCACATATGTTCCATGATGATTTCTGAAAGCTCCTGGCAGAAAGTCTCTTATTGCCAGCATCTTCCAGGAACAGGAACCCTCTCCCCTGACCAGGGGGCGCTCTTCTCTCCCACCCACCTCCCTCCAGTCATCCCAACCAAGTGCAGGCTAGCTCAGTCCCTGTTCCTTCTAACCTTCACCTAACACCTTCTTTCACCAGCAAGACTCCCTCATGCATATTTCTGATAAGTGTGACTTGTTAAATACATCTTAATTTATTATTTTAAGTTGTAACATTCATGTGATTCAAAATTAAGATATACAAATATGCTGGAAAAACTCTCCTACTCTGTTTTCCCTAATCTCCCCCTTCCCCCTGCCCCTGGCCAAATACAGGTAATCATTGTCATTTATTTCTTATGTATTATTTATTTCTTATATATTATTTATTAATTCATATACAATCAAGTCCCCAAACCAACACAAAACTCACTGCTGTCGAGTTGATTCCGACTCATAGTGACCCTATAGGACACAGTAGAACTGCCCCATACAAGGCTGTAAATCTTTACGGTAGCAGATTGCCACATCTTTTTCCCAAGGAGCGGCTGGTGGGTTTGAACCACCGACCTTTTGGTTAGCAGCCAAGTGCTTTAACCACTGCACTACAGGGATCCTTATACAACCAAGTACAAACATAAAATTTGTTTTACATTTTTACTCAAAATATATCATTCTATATATACTGCTTATACCCATCTTGTACTTTTACATTTATTCAGTACAGGAAGAGCCTCCTTATTCTTTTCTCCAGCTTTCCTTTGTGTTGATATACACTAACTGTTCTCCAATTAGAATTTAGATGGTTTCTTGTTTTTTGAAAATATAAACAATGTTGCAATGAATAACACTGGACATAAGTCATTTCACACATGTGCAAATATTTCTACAGGACACATTTCCAGACCTAGAATTGATGCATCAAAGCCCATATGCACATGTAATTTTGATAGATATCACCAAATTGCCTTCATAATCATTATACCAATTTCCAGTGCTCAGGCAAATTATAAGAATGTCCCTCCCCAAAGCCTCCAGAAGAGTATTTTTATCAAAATTTGGACTTCTACCAATATAATAGGTTGTAAATGGTATCTTACTTAATTTTATTTTGTATTTTTACTGCCATGAGTGAGACTGAACTTTATTTCATATACTTGTTTGTTTTCCCCTGGAAATTGTTCATGCCCTTTGGTCATATCCTTAGTGTGTCACTTGTGACGTAAATATCCAATGCATAATGATATTTTCAAATCCTGGAATGCAAATTATATACTAGTATTTCTCATTGTTTCTTCCAATTTCTGGCAAAGAAGGAAATCACTGGAATGGATGTTTGTAAAAGGAAAGTATTATTACATTGGAGATATATTTCATTATATCTCCTTGACTAACTTTTATGATAATATACCCATTTGAAGAACCACTTATGAAATATTAGTGAATCTATTCCAACCTATAAACAGCTTAAAATAGAAAATATAAAGTGACATTACAAAATAAAAACAACTGTGGTCAGTACATATAATCCTAAAACAGATAAATATATAAACACATAACCAAAACAATACTACCACCCTATGACAAAAACAATAATGATAATAATAGTGTCTGGAGAAGCCCTCTCGCCCTCCACCTACCCTATGCTTTTAAAAGCCTGCAGTCAGATCATGTGTCACCTGGTTCAAGGGTCCATTCCTTATTTGCTCAGCTTTCCCGTGAGTCTAAAAACAAAGAACAGGCACCGAATGATTTCTATTCGGACAATGGTCCAGGCACAGCTGCTGTATTTCTGGTTTTCCAGGTAGTTACGGATCCTTTGAAAGTACATTTTAACCTGTAATCTAAGGTTCTCAGTACCTAAGGTGCCACTCTTCTGTTCTGCTTCCAGTCCCATGAGTGCCTCCAGATGTTCCAGCTGTTGGTAAAGTTCAATGAGGAATTTCTCCATCTGGCTTTCCTCCCAACTGTCCAGAGAAAGATTTGTCCTGAAGAGGTTGAAGATCTGCTGGAGTATCTCATGAAGAATGGCCACTGTGTGTCCTTTATGGTAATGGTGAGGATTCATAGACTTCTGGGGAAGCACAAAGTTTTCCCTGTGTGGTAGACACTGCTGAATTGAAGAACTCCGCAATTTATTCAAGAGTTTTAAACTTTCTCTGTTTACTCTTCTTTGGAAGTGAACTAATTTCAGTTCTAGGGAGAAGGTCGTGGACGAGGCCAGCAGCACCAACACAATCTCAGAGAAGTGCCTGTTAATCATGGTGAAGGCCAAATACGCTACTTATCTCTGTGCAGACTTAGTGAAGCTCCAACTCTAGGTAATGTTTGCTTTTTGTGTGTCTCATTCTGGAAGGTGTTCTCTCGTTGTTTTTATTTTCTAATGTTGTCTTTTCTCCAAAATTACACTTCAGGTCTTCTTGTTCTCTGTTCTTGGTGTTCCCAGACATTTTCTTTACTTTCCTTCCTTATTGTGGCGACTGTTTGAGGAAGTAATCAAATGAACTTGTTTCCTTGTATCCTTTCCCTGAGGCAGTTATGGACCAGTCATCCAAAACAGTTTTCTATCACTCTCGCTATTTGTTACATATAACCTTTCACTCAGCACAATGTGCTTTGTAAATATTTAGTCAAGGTTATTAAAGTTGTTTTTATCAAGATTAAGCTTTTCTTAAAAACAGTAGTCTTTCATGGAGTAATATTTATCAGAGACTTAGCAGTACCTATAAGGCACTCATGAGCAAAAATTAAAATCCATACAGACTACTAAAATCTCAGATACTATTAAAATCTCAGATACAAATGCAAATTGGTACAAATGATTGAGAAAATTAAATTTAAAATATGTATTAGCAATCTTAAATTGTTTTATATCTTGTCTAAGCAGTTTAATGTACAGGATTCTAGCCTAAGAAGTAATCTGAAATAGACCAAAAAAAAAAAAAAAGTAAAGCAAGTTTGTTACAATGTTATTACAATGGCAGACTATTAAAAACAACCCATGAATCCAACAATAGGGAAATGGTTACATAAATGTTGGTATATCCATATGATGAAAAGCTATGTAATCAATACAAAAACCAAATCCGTTGCTGTTGAGTCAATTCCGACTCATAGCGACCCCTACAGGACAGAGCAGAACTTCCCCATACGGTTTGTAAGGAGCAGCTGGTGAATTTGAACTGCTGACCTTTTGCTCAGCAGCCTGAGCTCTTAACCACTGCACCACCAGGACTCCATTATAAACGAAAAAATTATACATAAAACATAAAAAGAGATAGGTGCAGTTAGTCTATATTCCATATGGTACCAATAACTATGTTAAACCAATGTGAATATCTTTACATCAATAATATCTCTTGAATTACAAATATCCAGTCTCACATTCTAAATCCTCCTGAATATGCCCCAATCTACCTTTCCAATCTTATTTCTGACTATTGCTCTAAACGTAGTTTAAGGGAATCTGAACTCCAGATGAAGTTATGTGTCATTCCCTTAATACAGCTAGTGCTTGTCTCTGTGTATGTTTATTGGTGATGCTTTATCTCATACATCAACTGTTGTCTCCCTTTATCTTCATTACTTGTCTGTGCAAGGACTACTTGCCCTTTAAGACCTGAATCTCCCCCAAGGTGCTATAATCTCTCCTCCTCTGGATATCCACACCACTTTTTACCTCTTTTAAGATGCCTTTCTTGTTCTGTCTTATATTTGGTGATTGATTTACCTGTCTTACAACCTTCTAAGATTAAAAGCATCTTAAGGGCATGAAGTCCCTGAATGGTGAAAATGGTTAACCTGGCCAGCTGCTAACCAAAAAGTTGGAGGTTTGGTCAACCCTGAGGTGCCTTAGAAGAAAGTCCTGTTAATGTAATTCCAAATGAAACAATGCTATGCTGTTGGGCTCAGCTTTTTACAATGGATTATCTAATATAATAGCAAAACGCAAACAGCAAAAGACAAAATAAATAAATGGGACCTCATAAAAATTAAAAACTTCAGTTCATCAAAGGACTTTACGAAAAAAATGAAAAAACGAGTTACTGACTGGGAAAATATCTTTGGAAACCACATATCTGATAAGATTCTAATAACCAATATATATATATACAACTTCAGCAACTTAACAACAAAAAGACAGATAACTCAGCCATAAAATGGGCAGAGGACTTGAATAACACTTCACCAAAGGGGACATTCAAATGGCCACCAAACATATGAAAAGATGTTCAATGTCATTAGCCATCAGAGAGATTCAAATCAAAACCACAGTGCTATACCACTTAATTCCCACTAGGATGGCTAAGACAACAAACAAAAACAAAAAACATCCTAGAAAATGACAAATGTTAGTAAGGATGTGGGGAAATTGGAACCTTATCCATTGCTGGTGGGAATGCAAAATAGAACGGCCTTTGTGGAAAATAGTGTGGCAGTTCCTCAAAAAACTAACAATAGAACTACCATATGACCCAGTGATTCTACTCCTAGGTATATACCCAAAAGACTGGAAATCAAAGACTCAGAGACTTATACACCAATGCTCATTGCAGCACTATTCACAATAGCCAAAAGGTGGAAACAACCTAAATGCCCATCAACAGACGAATGAAAAAACAAAATGTGTTGCATACATACAAAGGAATACTACTTGGCCAGTAGGAGAAATGAAGCCTTGATGCATGCTACAATATGTATGGAGCTTGAAGACATTATGCTGAGTGAAACAGGTCAATCATAAAAGGACAAATATTGTATGACCTCACTTATATAAAAAGACAAGAAAAGGCAAATATACAGAGACCAAAGACAAGAAAAGGCAAATGTATAGAGACTGAAGTTTATTTGTGGTCACCAGGGGTGACAAGGAGGAGGAAAGGAGGGGTTACTGCTTTTGGAGAACTGAGTTTTGGTGTATGGTGATGGAAAAATTGTGTTGATTAAGGGTAGCGTTGCACAGTTAATTGTTGTAAGTGCTGTCAATAAGTTCTACATCTGTAAAAAGTTGATTTGGTAGAAGTTGTGTGATAGACATATTTACAACAAGGACAAACAAACAAACAAAAAAGAGTAGCTGCTGAGGTTGCTCATGTGCAACCAAACATTTGGTTCCTTGGTTTGGAGTTTTAGGGTCATGGTTTCATGGGACATCCCAGTTAATTGACCTAATAATGTGTTTCTTGCTTCTATTCTACCCTGTAGTTCATTATGCAGTTCCTAGGGTTTAAAAGCTTGCAAGCAGCCATCCAAGGCATAACAATTGGTCTTTACTTGCCTGGAGCCACAGAGGAAGAAGAAGACTCAGGAATAGGAAGAGGAAATGGAATGTGTGGCCAATGGCCTCCATGAACAACTGCCTTCCTTGCCATGAAACCAGAAGAACTGGATGGTGCCTGGCTAACATTACTGAACATTTTGATCAAAGATTCTATAGGAGAATACTGATCAGAAGGGGGAAAATGAGGAACAGAATTTCAAATTCTCATGGAATCCAGATTTTCCAGAGCCATGGAAGCTGGACAAACTCCTGAAACAATTGCCTTGTGATAATCTTTAAACCTTAAACCACAAATATCCCCTGAAATCTTCTTAAAACCAAACAAGAGTTTAGCTTAACTAGTAAAAAATGTTTGCCTTGAGCATTATGCTCTTTTAATGGGATTATCTACCTATATGGGATCAAATTGACAACAGTAACTTGAAAGATTAGATAGGAACCTTAGGGATCAGTGATTTTAATGGGGGAGAAACAACTCAGAAAAGGAGGGTGAGAATTGTTGCACAACTCGAAGAATGTAATCAATGTCACTGAATTGTACATGTAGAAACTGTTGAATTAGTGTATGTTTCACTGTGTATATTCTCAACAACAACAAAATAAATAAAATAAAAAAGATAACCCTGTGGAGCACAATTCTACTCTGACACACAAGGTGTTGCTATGAGGTGGAGTCTATTTGATGGCAACTGGTTTTCTGGTTTTAAGGGCATGGAATAAACACTCATCTTTTTACTGTCTGTAGAATTATACCAAAAAACCAAATCAAACCCGTTGCTGTTGAGTTGATTGTGACTCATAGCAGGGTAGAACTGCTCCATAGAGTTTCCAAGACTATAATCTTTACAGAAGGAGATTGCTACATCTTTCTCCTGGAGCAGCTGGTGGGTTTGAACTGCCAGTCTTTGGTTAGCAGCTGAACTGTTAACCACTGTGCCGCCAGGGTTCCTTAGAAACCAAAAAACCAAACACGTTGCCATTGAGTAGATTCCAACTCATAGCGACCCTATAGCTTAATACATAATTGTTGACTTGGAGTGAATCAATATTTTCTATCACAAAGTAATGCAAAATGTTGAATCTTATCTTTGACCATTTCTTTGCAGGAAGTTGGTGGGTGAAACCCTAAGTATTGAAAACAGACACCTTATAAACCTGTATGGTATCATTATATACTAGCTCAGCTTTGTGTTGCTGTCACTCAATCTGTCAGTCTGGTATTAATAAACTGAAATGAACTGAGTTAGCATGCTCCATGGAAGGTTCTTTTCTTGTACAAAGTTCAATAGCATTCATCAAAAAGTTTCTAATACTTTGGGTGTTGTGGTTTCAGATCCATGAAATTCAGAAACTACAGGAATCTCTTACCTGAGCTAACAAAGTAAATAGACTTTAAGCTAATATAAAAATGTGGAAGTTGGGAAGAAAAGACACTCTTACACCTAGTGATAAGAGTGATAACTCCATTCAAAGAGAGTTTATATCATATTAAACCCTGTACCTGTGACTATAAACTTAACCTCTAGACTATGTATAGCTTGTGTTATATATTGTTCTGCAAAACATATTCTATTTGCAATGCTAAAAAACTTTTCACTTGCTCAAAAATTACAGAATTCCATTAGAGTTACTAGTTATTTAACATCTATCTACATATAGCATTACTCTACTTCAGAACATGGTGTCTGTTTGGCTGACAAATGTGTAGATCCCCGAAGTGTTCACTTCTTTAAGCCACACAGGGCAATTGGTGGAGCCCTGGTGGTGTAGTGGTTAAAGAGCTCGGCTGCTAACCAAAAGGTCAGCAGTTCAAATCCACCAGCTGCTTCTTAGAAAGCTTATAGGACAGTTCTACTCTGTCCTATAGGGTCTCTATAACTATGAGTTGGAATTGACTCGATGGCAATGAGTTTGGGGTTTTTGGTTTTAGGGCAATTGGTAACTTTGCCAAAAAATTTTACTAGGAGAAATGAAATGCATGA